GATGGCATGGGGTAGGGAGATGAAACTTGTAGTTCAGAAAGAAATAGATTTGATAAAAAACACGACGATTGGGAGAACACTTTCTAGTTGTGTTAAATGCGAGAAATTTAGATTTCTACGTTCCTTTTTACTGAATGAATAGAGCAAATGTGTAAAGGTGCCTAATAACTTTTCAANTGCTATCTCCTCCGCGTGTGCTTTGGCTGCTCGTTCTTGTGCGGATGGGGGGTTCTCTATAATTGTTTCGTTAAGACATATGCTAAGGGTGTCAACGTCTATTTTCAAAAGACTACACCGCATTTGGAGAGTACGTTCCTCCGACTCTTCAGAGCTACGTCGGCTATGGAGTAGAGTAGATGGCATTGGGTAAGGAGACGAAACTTGCAGTTCAGAAAGAAATCGATTTGTAAAGAAAACACGAAGATTGGGAGAACACTTTCTAGTTGTGTTAAATACGAGAAACTTAGATTTCTAAGTTCCCTTTTACGAAATGAATAGAGCAAATGTGTAAAGATGCGCAAAATCGAGTGATATATCTCAATGGATATGTCTAATAACGTTCCAAGGACAGCATGTCAAAAATTTCAACTTGATACCAACTCACCTATGAAATAGGTGAAGAAAGGGAAAGATATATCATCTCCTCTTCAAGGCGAGATATGGTTATTCGTGAGTGTTCATCTCACAGGCTACATTCCAATAAATGACAGGGTGAAACAAAGAAATGCACCCTGAATGTACCGCTCCTACTACTGGTTGGATGGATGGTCAGACTTCCACTTCAGGAACAAGTTCAAACAAGCGTTCGTCTTGAATGTTAGCACCGTCTGCAGTTCTACTAACTCTATAGGTGGTCTGTTCCAAATGTTGACTACCCTGTTGCTAAAGTAGTGTTACCGGGTAATTAATCGAGACCGGGTGGATACCGTCGTGATCAGCCGACTTGTCTATATTTAAGCTCTCTAGATGGTTCCTAACCCTGTCCTCCGTTAGACGCAAATCATCAATAACTACCTGAGGAGTCACCGTGAGTTACCGTTGCGGACGCACCGTTGTCCGTACGATGAATACTGCTAAAGTAGAGACTTATNNNCCCCCCTGCCGTTGTCGTCTGCAGAGACGGCTTGCCCCCCGGTCTTCAGCGGCCCCATGCCATCCGTGAATGTTCCTTTGGATTGCACATGCCCGTAATATTTCTTAGGATGATCCTTGGTGCATTTGGCCAGCCAAAGCTCATAGTTGCGTTTCGCTGTTCGCATCACGTCGACCGCCGCGTTCCTGAGGGCTGTGTAGCGCTTCCAAGCTAGGCGGCTCCCAGAAATTTTGTACAAACATCAACTTCGGTTTCTACGCTTGATGGCCTTGTCTATCGCCGCTCACCACCAGATCGGTTTGGTTAGGTGTCGTCTGTGTTTCAACGTTGTGAATTCTTCTTGGAGTATGTGCAGCGATTGCTTAATTACTCCACATAGCCCGTCAATGCTGGTTGCTTCGTCGTCCTAGGCTAGTTGGGCCGCTCTGCTACGGAGAAGATCTACGTTCATGGTTCCAAAGTTTCTGGCCATTTTAGCGGTAGCTTCCGGATGCTGCATGCAGAATGTAAGTTTCATGCATACATGATCACTCTTACCTAACGGTGGCAGTAGCCTCAATTCTATGACATCCGTGTGGTGCTTCGTAATCACCAGATCTAGTAGTGGGGGGAGGCAGCCCGTCATGTATTTGGCGTTTTCTTTTACGTTTGGCCTCATTGCCTTTTCATGGAGCCACTCCAGGAATGCCTCTTCCTGTGTTCTTGATGGGTTTGCATGTTGAAATCACCCACTATCAGAGTCTTGCTGGGTTCCTTTACCAGGTCTGTAGGGACGCGAAGGAGGTTAATGTCCTCTTCACGACTCGAACTAAGGGACCGATAGATGCATGTCACGTTCACCTTACTCCTCGGAAGGATCAGTGTGACAGTGCATACTGGAAGATTCCCGGTGCATAACCTGACCTGGGATTCGAGGTGGCTTATGCCCTCCCTCATGAAGATGGCTACTCCTCCTCCCAGACAGTCATGCTCTCTGTTCCGTCTGTAAACTGCATGGCGCTCTTGAAAGACTCGGGGTACGTGGTCATTCCTAGATAACCAAGTTTCGGTGACCGCAACTACCCCTGCGCCGCATTCACCCGTCACCTTAAATAGTCCCATCCATCTGTTACGTATGCTGCATGCATTGGTGTATACCACCACTTATTCTGTTCTCCGTCCTTCTTTTCCTATAATTCGTAGGTTTTTGGGTGCCTCGGGAACTTAACCCGAGGGGACACCGAGCTTTTGCGGTCAAAGGCGGTGTTGACTGTGATCTCCGAC